AGGGGTGCGATTTTCGGGTGGCTTTCCCAGGGGATTTTCCGTGGAGATTTCCAATGGGAGACAACGGGGTATTTCTTGTCACATGTCCAATGGGACTCCCGAGGGGCAAGATTTTCCGGGCGATTTTCACGGAGATTTCCGAGGGGCAAGATTTCCCGGGGGATTTCCACGGATATTTCCGAGGGGCAAGATTTCCCGGGAGATTTTCCAGGAGATTCCCAGGGTGTGTCTTCCATTTCCACGGGGATGCCCGAGTGGCGCGCTTTTCCGGGAGAGTTCGACGGAGATTTCCGAGGGGCGAGATTTCCCGGGAGATTTCCACGGAGATTTCCGAGGGGCACGATTTTCCGTGAGATTTCCCGGGGGATTTTTTCTTGGGATTGCTGGGGTCGTTTTTCGGGCATGCGGGATGTGCTGGGAATTTTAGGTGATGCGCGTGAGGGGCATTCCCGGGGAATGGCCGGAGGTTTCTGCGAGGGGCGCATTTTTGTTTTTGGAACAAAACATCGAAAACAATGAATTCCCGAGTGCATTTGCAGGGGGAGTTCCGGGGGGCAAGATTTTCCGGGAGATGCCTTCGGAGATTTCCGAGGGGCAAGATTTCCCGGGATATTTCCGCGGAGATTTCCGAGGGGCAAGATTCTCTGGGAGATTTCCCGGGAGATTCCCTGGAGATCCCCTAGGGCGTGTTTCCGAGGGGCGCGATGTCCCGTGACATTACCTGCGGTTGCCTTGGGAATGTCCGACCGGGATCGGATGCGGCGACGGTTCTTCAGGGAATGCCCGGGGGGCCCCCAGGCATTCCAGGCGGGCGATCGGGCGTCTGCCCAGGCGCGCGCGCGAAAGCGCCGCGATGACGTTTCGCGCCGGTTTCGGCGAAGTCCCCTGGTATGCGCCCTTGCCCTTGCCAGCCTGGCGGGCGCCGCGCGGCCCCCGGGGGGGCCGCGCCTGGCGGGCGCATTCCGCGGGCGGCCCGCTCCGCGGGTGGCGCGCTCCACGGGTCGCGCGGCCCGCAAGGCCCTTGAACGTTTGGGTCGCCCGGGCTGGGGCGGCGGGGGGCGCGGTGCAGGGGCGCCCGCCGCAGCCCCCCGAGATCGCTGAGAAGTTTTCGTGCGGCCGCCATGCCTCCGCGATAGATGCCCGCGTAATCGCGCGCCGCGGCGCGGCGCGCAAAGGCGGGGGGGCCGCCCAGTGCGTCGCAGCGCGCGGTGGGGCGCGGGCCCGGCGAGGCGCCCCTCCGCGCGCCATGGCCGCGCGCAGCTCTTGCGCGCGCGCGCGCGCCCGCCAGTTGCAGTAGGCGCGCGCGCCCGCGCGCGCTGAAGCGCCGATGTCGAGGCGGCCGCCCTGGGCGCGCGCCCGCGGAGTCCCTGCCGCCGCGGCCCCGCCCGCAATTTCCGCGGCCTGGCGCGGCCGTCGCGCCGCGGGCCGCGGGCGGGAAAGACGGGCGCGGCCTCGAATGCCTCGATTTAGACGCGCTGCCCGAGAGGCGGGCGCCGCTGCCCAGCTCGCGCTTCCATGGGAGTTCTACGGGCCGAAGGGCGCCGCTAGTGCCTCTCTTGCTTATTGGGGTTGCTGGGGCGCCCAGGCGTGGCGGCCGCGGTGCTTGCGCCGCCGCCCGCCCGCGGGCCCCGTGGCCGCGCGCCCGTCCGCGCCCCCGTGGTTTTTGCCCCCCCGGGGGGCGGCGCCGTCTCATGGTGGTCACCGAAGGGGGCCATTTCGTTGGAGTTGTTCCGGGGTCCACGTAAGTGGCGGCGTTGTCGCAGATAGCGGCGCCCCAAGGATGGCGAGGTCTACGCTGGCGCGCGTGGGGCCCTCCCCGTTGGGCTTCCCGGGGGCCCACGGCATTGGCGACTGTTTTCAAGCCGCTGCCCGCCAGGGGCGGCGATGCGTCATGGCGGCGCCCTGGGGGCGCCCTTCGTTCGACCCCCCGAGCACGCGGAGGGGGCTCCAGTTTAGCAGGTCGCAGCCCGCCATGGGCGGCGAGGCCTCATGGTGGTCCCCCGGGAACACTTTTGCGCCGGACCTCCTGTGAGTTTGAGGCCGCGTCGGCCGCGACTGCCCGAACAGAGGAGTTGCCGAAGGTAAGAGTCAGGGGGGGGGGGGGGCCAGCGGAGGAGGCAATGCCGGTGAAGAATTTCAGTGCGGAGGTTACTAGTACAGCTACGACAGCAACTGCAAAGGTTACCCGGGCGGCCAGGGCGGCAAAGGAGGATGCGGAAGCCAGAGAAGTTGCCGGGGAAATGCAGGGGGGGGCAAAGGCGGCAATGGAGGTTACCAGGGATGGTGTACAGGAGGAGGTAACGGAGGAGCTAAAGGAGGAGGTGAATGAGGCCAAGGGTTTGCGCCCCACAGCGAGCGATCATGCTTTAAGTGCGGCGGTGAGGGGCGCGTCGCCCTCAACTGCCCCGGAGGGGCCAATGGGGTTGCCGCCGGCCCAGGGGGGGCAGCAGGGGCCGCTGGGGCAGCAGCAGGAGAACAACCTCGGGGACTCGGGCAGTCTTTACCGGGAGCTTTCAGCGTTGAGGTACCCGCGGATGTTACCGAGGAGAAGCCAGAGGTCGTGGAGGAGTGGAGTAAGCAGTATAGGAAGCTAGACAGGAGGGCGAAGAAGGGGCCCATGGCAAGTTACCGTGCGTGCAGCCCCGACTGCAACCACCCCCAAGACAAAAACGTCACCGGACCGCTCCGGAGCCAGGGGGGGGGGGGGGGCAACTTTGTTAACGTCCGCTAGGGCTGTTACCTCCAAGAGTCGGTTCCAAAAGTAACGCGCGTGCTTATGAGCATTGGGCTGTTCTCCCCCGCCCCGAGACGCCTCCGCCCGTAATGCGCCGCCGAACCCAATCCGATTGGGTCGCGCGCGGGCGCAGGCGATTCTCGCACGCGCGCGCCGGAAATGGTGCCCTTATTCGGTTCGCCCAGGGAATGGTGGTTGCGAGCCCCGCAACGTAGTGACCTGCAGGCCTGTGCCCGCGGTGACCGCTAAGCGCGCCAGTGCGCCTGGTGAACTAGGGCCGTCGGTGGGCGGTGCGGCGTCGATCTCCAGGTTCGCTGCCCAGCATCGTGGCCGAGGCAGTCGCTCGATCGAGGGGCGGGGAATGCCCATCCGCGCCGCAGTGCGCACTTCTTCCAATGGCGCGCGCAGCTCCGATCAGCATTGCCCCGATGACAAAGCACTCGACCACCATGAAGTTGTGCTTTGCCACCGCGCCGCGCGCTGCGCGAAACTTGGCCAGCAATTGCTGGGGGAGATTGCGTTTGAGTTTCTGATCGCCCAAGAATTCGTTTGAGATCTTGTCGGGGATTGGCAAGAGGCGAGATTTCGTTTAAGATGTTGTTTGGGATGTGGCAGCGGCATGATGTCGTTTGAGATTTCGTTCGGGATTTATCGGTGGCAAGATTTCGTTTGAGTTTTTGCTTGGGCCCCAAAGTGTCTCGGAAGATTTCATCGGAGGTCCGTTTGGAGATTCTCTCGCGGCAAGATCTGGTTTGAGATCTGGTTTGAGATTTTCTCTCTCGGCGAGATTCGGTTTGAGTTTTTCGGGGATTCTTGGGGGTGCGAGAGGTCTTGGACGCACCCGATCTAACCGTATACCTATCACGACATGGCTTGCACCACGTGGCCTGTGCCATGTAGCTGGCACCATATCTGCAGGACAGGAGAAGCCATACCGACCCCCACGAGTGGCATTTACGAAACAGTCCAAGGTTTTTACTAAAGAGCCATGCCCCGCTCGAGTTTTGTCTCAGGCGCGTATAGTAAAATGGGCTACGCTTGTCGGGGTGCGTTCTATTTTTTGTGCGACCTACACTTATCTTACACCACGTAGCTTGAACCACGCAGCTTATACTATGTGGTGTTCGCACCACGTAGCTTGCACCGCATGGCTCGCACCACGTAGCTTTCAGCACACAGTTTCTTGCACATAGCTTGAATCACATAGTTTGCACCCGATAACTTTCACCTAGTTGCTTGGACTATCTGGCTTACACCATATAGGTTGCACTGCGTAGTTCGCGCTACATGGTTTGCATTACATACCTTGCACCACACAGTCTGAACCACGTAAGCCTGCACTGCATAGCTTGCATTACGGAACTTGGACCACATATCTCACACATCAATGTACCAGGCGTCATTCATTGGGGTCCACGCTGGCTAACCTTTTGGCTACCAGTTTGTCATGGTCGTGTAACGTTGATTTCGTGTGATTGTTACGGTTGCAGATTTCTAACGAAACAATGCTGTATCTCTTGGGCCACGCGTTATATTTCAAAGTGTTGCCAGTTTTCATTCTGTGTGAGGCTTGAGCCGCCTTCAGCTGCCTGGGGGATTCTCCACATGTATCCTGTGGCAAGGTTCTCCTGGTTGCTGACCGCCGTCTCTGCCATGATCGACCGTTGCGCAGGTTGACCATTCTGGCAAGCGGATCTTATGTATCATCAGCCCACATGTAATTACCACATATATTTATGCATATATATATATATATATATAGATGTGTATGTGTGTAAGTATGTATGTATGTATGTATGTATGTATGTATGTATGTATGTATGTATGTATGTATGTATGTATGTATGTATGTATGTATGTGTGTGTGTGTGTGTGTATGTATGTATGTATGTATGTATGTATGTATGTATGTATGTATGTATGTATGTATGTATGTATCTATGTATCTATGTATGTATGTATGTATGTATGTATGTATGTATGTATGTATGTATGTATGTATGTATGTATGTATATATGTGTATATATACACACATGTGTATGCATATGTAAATAGGTACATGTATTGGTGCACGTGCATGTGGATGTGTGGATTCGCTTTCGTAGAAAGCCCCCTTGCTTACAGTCTTCCTGCAGTGGCACCTAGTGGTCGGATCCTGGGAGTTTTGAGCCATGAGTCCGCATAACGCAGGCTCCCCCTTCACATTCCTGTTGACGTAGCCGTTTTGGCTCAAATCCCCCTTTGCAGCACGGGCTTTCGAAGCGCATGGATCCACTTCGCAGGGCTTCGCCGCAGCTTTTCCCGATGTCTCGACCTGGAAGTACATCCGATTTCGGTCTGCAAGGCTCCTCGTCTGGTCAACCCCCCATCGTGTCAACCCTGTGGGTAGCGCTCAGCTTCTGCTGCCCGATTGCGCTGGTTAGGCGGCAGGCCGAAAGCAGCCATGAGAGTCCCAAGCCAAGCTCCAACATCGTCGAGTTCGGGGGCAGGGACAACCTTCCCCACCACAAAAGTCTTCTGATGGGCAGGCTCCATGGAGAACTCTCGGAGGCCCCGCCGCTCATTTTTGCAGTCAGGCGTAGACCGTATGTTTCTTTATCCGTGGAACGCTCGAGCAAGCTTCGGAGGATAGCTGCCCCACATTGGGGCCGGCGGCGTTCGGACATTACGCCCACAGAGTCTACAGCGACTCGTAACGACGATGAAGACGGGGCATGTTTGGCAGAGCCGTGTACACAAGAAGTCACAAGGAAATACTTTTGTGCGAACGACGGGTGCAAGTACGCCAACCTGTACGTTGTCCTGTGCGAGGACCACTTCCCCACGCATAGGTGCCCAGGCTGTGCGCGAGCGGCTACGGGCCCGGGCCTGCCCCTGAGGCCAGTGCCTCTGTCTTCTCCCTCCTCCGGGAGCGCGAGGGCAGGAGCGCCAGGACGAGCGCACGACGCCGGGGACGCTGGCCTCCACGAGCACGAGGGCCGGGGCGCAGGTCGCCCCCGCCTCTCGGTTCTCCGCTCGGCACACCGGCCACTCAAGAGTGATTGACGCTTCGCGTGCCACCATCGTGGGCGGCAAAGAGGGGGGTGATGACTTGGGGGGGTGGATATCATGGCGTGGGCCATGATATGTCCCCAGCTTTCATGGCGACTCTTCTTATTTCATCCCCCCCTGGGCCGCTCACATACCACTGGCCATGATTTGCACCCCCCCTCTTGGACGGCCCCCCTCTTGGCCGCCCCCGACACCAGCTGGTTCCGAAACAATTCCTCGGCAAGTTTTCGTGAGAATTGCGGTGGGGGGAACCCGTGAAACGAAGAGAACGGGTCGCCAGGCAAGCACAGAGGTCTGATCAGTCCAAGCAGGCCCTCGAGATTGGGCAGCGGAGCCTTGCTTGATCTCGCGGATCGTGGCCGAATGTCGCTTAGCTTGTATAGCGTAGCATAGCGTAGCGCGGCGTAAGCGAGTTTCAATTTGTTGAGTGCTGCTTAGTTAGTTGATCTGATATTAGTGTACCATGGCGAAACTGCACTGCGTTTCGTTAATCTCGGCTCTTGGAGCCCTCCTGGGGCTTTCTTGGGGCCTTCTTGGGACGCCTGTCGTGGCCCTTTATGGGTCGCCAGTCTGGGTTTAGTATATTGCCCCGCTTGGCCGCTGCCTGCTGTGACAAGCTCCCGCTGCCGTCCCTGGCGGCGGGCGGTGGTTTCAATTATTCTTCACACTTCACGCTTCGCTTCCGCGCTCAGCCTCCCGCGTGCTGCCCCTCGTACAGGCGCAGGCGCTTGCGGCTTCCGCTATCTCCCGCGGGGTTGCCCCACGCCGCAGTCACGGGACACCACATTGCCAGATAATTACCCGCCACTTTGGCGTGCACCTCCGGCGGTTGCTAGCTGCCGATGGCACCCACTCTGTGAGCGCCGCGCGGCCCGCCCGGGCTAGTCTCACCTCCCGCTGTTCTCTTGTTGTCTCTCTTTCCTTCTCTCTCGTGTGCAATTTAGGCTCCTGCTTGTTAGCTGTAGCTTTAGACGGCGCGCGGCCCTTCCGTTTGCGCTCGCGGACAAAAATCCCCACCAACCAATCCAAAAACCCTGCTCGTGAGAGTTATTCGGGAAACGGTACGAAGAGACACGCGCAGTGAGACCAAGCGGGCAACCAGGGTGAACGGGCATATCTCTGGGAGCAATGAGGTGGCCTTGGAGGGTCTCTTCGGGCCATCCCTGGGGCCCGCGTGGGGCCGAGGGGAGGAGGCGGAGGAGGAGGAGGAGGAGGAGGAGGAGGAGGAGGAGGAGGAGGAGGAGGAGGAGGAGGAGGAGGAGGAGGAGGAGGAGGAGGAGGAGGATACAACGAGGACGAGGACCGAGCCCTCAAAACCGCCTCTTCGGAGCCGTCTTGGGGATCATTTGGGGGATCTTGGGGTCCTCTTGAGACTCTTTTGTTGGTTCTTGGGGCCCTTTTGAAGCCCTCTTGGAGCCCTCCTCGGGGCCCCTTGGGAGCCTTGGAGGGCCTCTTGGGGCCATCTTGGAGGCCATCGATCAAGAGGGGCGGATCCCGATTTGCATCCCCCCGTGGGGGCCATCAACATCGCTTCTTGGGGCCCTCTTGGGGCGCTCTTGGGGCGCTCTTGGGGGCTCTTTTGGCCGTATGGGGAGCCTCTTCGACCCCTCTTGGGCCGCTCTGGGCCACTTTGAGATTTCAAAAACGCATCGGAAACGAAAAGGCTATATATATACATAACGTTATTTATTTTCCGTTTGTGTTTGAAGGATTTTGGCTTTCATGAGGGTGTCCTGAGGGGGCTCCGAGAGCGCTTGGAACGGTCTTGTGGCCCTCGTCTGGCCTCTTGGAGGTATGTCGGAAGATGTCTCGAAACATCATCAGCTATGTTGGGCCATCTTGGAGGACATCTTGGAGCATCGGAGGCCCTCTGGCAGCTGTCTTGGGCCATCTTGGTCGCCTTGACACCTCGCGGCCCGCCCCAACAATCCCCAGGGAGGGGCCCCCTTCCCGAAGGGAAGAGAATTTTGGGAAGTGGAAAGAAAGAGCCCGCTAGCCCATCTCAGCCAAAATGGCTGGTGGGATCACTTTTGTTTTCTGCGGCCAGCGCATCCTGCTGCTGTGCAGCCCGCGCAGGGCCTCCGGAGCACTCGGCACTCTTGGGGCCATCCTGGAGGCTACCGGCCAAGCACGGAAAGGTCCGCAATTGCCCCCCCCCCCCCCCCCCCCCCCCCGTTTTTTTGGAACCCGAAGAGGCGCCTCTCGGAGCCCTGTTGGGACTCTCGCGGGTTCTTCCGCAGCTTTCGACACTGAGCCTCTTTTGGGTTCCTCTTGGGCATCTTGCGGAAGCCGCAGGCTACATTTGATGCTTCTTGGAGTCTTTTTCGGCCATCCCTGAGGCTCTAACCCTTTGCGCCCCTCCAGATCGGACCCCAGGGAGAAGCAAAGGGTTGTTTCGGAAGAGTTGACATCCTAAATTACCTATGCCCACAGGGTTGTTGGGACTTGGGCCGAGAGGATCTCGGGGCAATGTGAAAGGAGCTGCGGAGCCCTTTTTTGTTTGTCCGTGCTCTCAGGTTTTTTTGTTCAGAGCACCTCCAGCCCATTGACGTGTCTTTGGTGTATGTCGGTCCTTGCACTTCTTTCGCTAGCCCTGGCTAGATGCGGGATGCGGCTTCAAACAGTAGGGCTTGTTTTTGATGTATGTTTCCCGAGTGTCGATCTGCAGGCTCCACCACGCCATGATCTTACCGTTCCTAGCTGATTCTTGTCATCAGACTGGATCCGTAACGGCTTCGCCCCCTGCCGCCGGCCCCCTCTCTCGGAGAATGGGCCATGGAAGAGCTAAGTCATGAGGCTTTGGCGCTGTCGTGCAGCAGTATCGGAACTTCATGCGAGGCCGATTCGCAATCGGCAAAACCAACTGATCACAAGAGGGGTTACCACACAGGGCGATTGGTAAGACGTGTATGGTTTACGAGCTTGATTGCCACACCTTGGGATTAAAGGGCCGAGGGAGTACTCGCAGTTTGGGTTACCACGCCTTGCGATGGATGTGCGTGAGGGGTGGCACCGAATTTCAGAAATGTCGCAAATCCCCTGTGTTTTTGGACCCTGACCCCGCGGATCTGCGTGAGGGGTGGCACCGAATTTCAGAAATGTGGCAAATCCCCTGTGTTTTTGGACCCTGACCCCGCGGATCTGCGTGAGGGGTGGCACCGAATTTCAGAAATGTGGCAAATCCCCTGTGTTTTTGGACCCTGACCCCGCGGATCTGCGTGAGGGGTGGCACCGAATTTCAGAAATGTGGCAAATCCCTGTGTTTTTGGACCCTGACCCCGCGGATCTGCGTGAGGGGTGGCACCGAATTTCAGAAATGTGGCAAATCCCTGTGTTTTTGGACCCTGACCCCGCGGATCTGCGTGAGGGGTGGCACCGAATTTCAGAAATGTGGCAAATCCCTTGTGTTTTTGGACCCTGACCCCGCGGATCTGCGTGAGGGGTGGCACCGAATTTCAGAAATGTGGCAAATCCCTTGTGTTTTTGGACCCTGACCCCGCGGATCTGCGTGAGGGGTGGCACCGAATTTCAGAAATGTGGCAAATCCCCTGTGTTTTTGGACCCTGACCCCGCGGATCTGCGTGAGGGGTGTCGATTTCGAGCCCCCCCAGCAATTCAGACAACGCGCCCAGGGAGGCTAAAATCCTGTTTGGGCCTCCCCCCCCCTCGCGCGGTCAATCAACTAGTTACAGTAACCAGCAAGAAGTCAACTAGTTACAGTAACCAGCAAGAAGCAGAACTGTAACACTGGAAACTACAACCTACGACTGGTACAGGAAACTGCGAATCACGGGCCTACAGCCTGGTGGCCCCACAAGGGGGCCGGCGGATTTCTACCCAACTAGTGTCCCATCTTAGTTTGGACATCGAGCATCAACTTGCTACAGTCGAGCGTATTGTCTTGTAGCAGCTTGTACATGGAGCGGGCAGGAGGTTGGAGCGGTCATCACGGCAGTGGATCATCCGTCGCATGCGTGGAATCGTCAGCATAATCTGTGGCAATTGTACAGACGGCCCCTAGGTCGCGCGCTCGAGTCGGAGCCTGCGAAGGTTTTGTCACCCGAGGAGTGCACCTGCCTTGAGAGAACCCTGGAGACCATACGGGAGCACGTGGAGCAGGCCGAATCGCTGCTCAGGACCGCCCGTCCAGGGCCTATGTGGATCTAAAGAGGAAGGAGGGCAATGACGAGGCGGTCCAATGTCAGTCTTTTCTCGAAGAGCTGTTCAGGCTTGTGTGAGTCGCTCGGTTCGGTTTGAGTCCGCCCCGAGCCTGCACCGGTCCAGCAACGGTCTCTCCCTTCTGCGTTCCTCTCTTGGCATGTGGCTACATGTCATGCGTCAACTAATTTGACGAGGCCGCAGGTTCGTGCGCCATGCGCGCTGACTGCTGTTGGTCAACGTCGGCTTGATCGTCCCTTGATTCCTGCGTGGGTTCCAAACAGTGAAGTAGTGCAGCCTGAGCAAAGCAATGCAAGGCAACACGACGCAATGGAGCAATGCAGGGCATTGCCATGGCCGCGCCGAATGCTTGGCGGCACCCTTGGCCGAAACCCATGGCCGTACCGGAGCATCAGCGGCACCTGGGCGCAATCTATGGCGCAACCCTTGGCGCAACCTGTGGACACACCCTATGGCGACACCTTTGGGGCGTCGCGGCCATGTGCGCGGCGGCGCGGTGTAGAACTGACCCGTGGGCGGCTTCTACGGCTGGACCGAAAAGTTACCAGCCCCTCGCAGCCAGCTCTGTACGAGACAAAGAGCCCCTAGTTGCAGGCATTGTTTCGAGAACCCTGCAGGATTGATTCATGATCAAGAGCCGCTGTAGGAGGAGGTCGGGCAGAACAGGAGCCCTGAGATCACGCCTTGGTTTCAGCGCCATATAGAACAGGTTTCACAGTTTTGGGTATTTGGTGGCCAGTAAACGGGCACGCGATACTGCAGAGCACGCTACACTTGTGCTGCCGACGGACGGGGACACCGAGGCTGATGGCTGTCGCTTTGAACTTCCACCTGAAATCAATTAAGTCGACCTGTGAGAGAAACTGCGCGCCAGTGAACATAGTGCTCATCCATGGTGTCCTCTCATATCAGCAGTACTTCGGTAAATGGCCATGACGTGTTGATTGAAGTGCCCCCCGCTGGCTTGCCTTTTCGTATTCTATGATCTTATTCGTTGCACCCTGTGCAAGTAGTGCTTGATTGTTGCCCTGACGCAGGAGGCGCTCTGTGGCATCTCTTGGGGCTGTGATGTGGGTGCGATCGCGATGCGGTGCAAGCGCGTTTCCTCTGAGGAGCCAGCTTGGCCACGTTTGCTGGCTGAGAGAGCGCGTGAGCATAGAAAGTACTACCGTTTGGTCCGTCGTCCTGGTGATCGTTCTCATATCGTCTTTTTGTCCCTAGATCCGTGCACGAAGTTAAGGTACTCACGGGCTAAGCAGGTATGTTTGGGTTTACTAGTGGCACACCGTCACCGGGAGTATGATCGGACAAGGGAGACAATCGGACGAGTGATTGGCAGAAGGCGCCAGAGTTCCGCTGCGTGCTTTCCTCCCGACGTCCAAAGGACGGCCCAACCCGCTGCAGAAGCCGCAGGTGCGGTGGCCAGTGCATCTTTGACGCTTCTCTCGCCCCCTCCCCTGCCCGCCGCTTCCTCGCCCTCCGAGACGGCTCCTTCTGCCCTGTCCACCACCGCTGTCCCCCTTCTCTCGACTTCCTTTTCTCTTTCACTTCTCTACCCCCCCTTGCTTTTCTTTTACCGTTGAGCGGACATGAAGTGCTATGCTTACTGCTTCTTGTCAGGAAAACAGTGTGAGGCCAACTTCGGTAAAGTGCGAGGCGAATTACGCAGGGCGAGCTCCCCATCGTTTACCCCCAGTATCTCCTTCTGTCATCGCCCTTGTCTCAGCCGCTGCCCTCGCTCCTCGTCTTTTGCTTCTCAGACAGGTCGCCTGCATCTCTTCCGCCCGTTTCCTGCTAGTGCCCAGCTCGCTTCCGGAGGGCTTCTGACGTCTTTTGCGCCTGCAGACCCTAACAATTCTTCATACAGTGCGTGCGCTTGGCCAGCCTTCTGTTCGTGTCAGCATGCCCACCCGGAGCCGCGCAGCGCCCGCGTCAGACCTGCGCGCGCGGCGCCGAACGGACCAGGGCCTCTCGGAGCGGCCCTGTCGTGGTGCCCGGTGCCCGTGACGGAGGGAGCCACGACGAGTCCGTTCACCTTCTCCATTGCATGCGCTGCTGTGCTCTAGAGCTAGGAGTCCTTTATTTTCGTCGGCGTCGTTTGTCGTCGTCTGCGTACCCCATCTCCCTGACTCCAGACCATCCAAGCCAGCCCCGACAGGCCGGAAAAGATTTCGAGAGCTTGAGGAGGCTCCAAGAGAGCTGCCAGGTGCCCCCCAAAAAATCTCAGGATGGTCCCCAAATAATCCCCTTCTCCTCGTCATCCACTCTCCCTCGTGGAAGAGCCAGGGCACGCGTGCCACCTGTTCCACCCTCAGTCTCTCCTCTCGTCGGCCTTGTGCCACTGTCCGCAGGGCGGCTGCTCGCAAACGGGGGCAGGCAGGAGACGCCACCCACGACGAGGAAATCCATAGTGAGCTCACGAGCAGTTGCGAGCAGGCCGCGCGCTGGTGCCTACCGTCGCCGCCTGGGCCACACCGCCAGCGGCGGCCCCCCCCCGCCTCGACAGAGGGCGCCAAGACGAGCGTGTCCGCCCCCTTTTCCCCCTTCCGCCGCCGTTCGTAGTTCCCAATGGTCGTTTTTTCGTTCGTCCTTCGTCGTGGTCGTCCCGCTCGTCCGCAGTGGTGATCGTTTCTTCGGTCTCCCCTGCGCCGCCTGCCGCCTCAGCGGCCCGTGACGGACTTGCCGACGGCAGCCACCCTACGACAGGAACCGTCTTCTTGAGCTCGTGACTCGATGGGCTTCCCTACTATTTTGAGCAGTGCCTGGGGCCTCTCCCGAGGCTCACCTTCACATTGTCCTGGCGTGCTTGCGACTTGTTGCTTGCTCGCTCTATGCTGCGTCCTGCGTCCGCCGCCCCCGCGCCAGCTGTGGCCGCGCCATCGTCGCCGACGGCCGCCCCCCCGCCCGCCGCCTCGCCGCTGGCGGCCGCCCCGTCGCCTGCAGCCGGCCCGCCGTCACCGACTGCGGCCGCCCTGGGCTCGCCGGGCCGCGCCACGCCGCTGGCACCCGCCGCGCGGCAGCCAGCGGCGGCGCCCGCGGCCACGCCGCTGGCGGCCGCTGCGCCGCAGGCCTGGGCGCCGCTCGTCGCCGCCGCCGCCGCGGGCGGCGCCTTCGCCGTCGTCGTCGCCGTTGCAGACAGCGCCGTCGTCGTCGTCGTCGTCGTCGTCGTCGTCGTCGTCGTCGTCGTCGTCGTCGTCGTCGTCGTCGTCGCCAATGCGAACGGCGCCGTCGCCGCCGTCGCCGCCGTCGTCGTCGTCGTTGTCGCCGTCTTCGTCGTGGTCGCCGTCGTGACCGCCGTCGTGGTCGCCGCCGTGGTCGCCGCCGTGGTCGTGGTCGCCGTCGCCGTCGCCGTTGTTGGGACAAGGGAGGGTGAGGAGCACGGTGACGGCTTCCCTGGGGCGGGCCACCGTCTCTCGGGATCCCACGTGAGGGGGGCGAGGGATGCTCAGGGGTTGGGGGGGTGGCAAGTCGGCTCGCGTCGCGCCGTGCCGTCCTCGCCCCTCGTCCTCGGCTGTCGCGGTGCCGGGGGGCGGGGAGCACGACCCCACCAAGCCTTCCGCTCGGCTCCCCCGTGCTCGCCGACCCTCTTCTGAGGGGCCCCGAGCCTCGCGGTGAGGTGGGGGTCTCGAGCCCGCTGCCACGGTAGCCAAGTTGGCTTCGGGAGCTGCGAAGTGGCCCGCCCCGCCTCGACCCCTCGACGCCCGATCGTGCCCTATCGGGGCCGTCGCCAGGCTTTCTGTCGTTTGAGCGGTGCCAGGACGAGTCGCAGTCAGGGCGTCGGGAGGCGATGCGTCGGTGGTCCCCTTCCAGTGTGAAGGAATGGCTTGGGGGCCCCCACCGCAAGAAGAGGGGGCCAGAAACCCGAAGGTCCACCCTTTACGGCAGAGGGAAGGGTCCCGACTCTCTCCCTCTATGTCGAGAAGCGGAGCTCCTAAGCCGCACGCGGATGCCAGGGCGTGGGGGCTCAGGTGAGTCAGGGGTGAAATGAGAAGGCAGATGTTTTGCGGGGGCGGATTCGGGCAATCGTACGTCTTCGACTTGGGCGACGGCTTTGGGCGACCTACTTTTACCCTCCGACCTCGTGGGCGTTGGGGAGTCTGCAGCTAGAACGCCTGGAAGCCAGGCAGTCTGGCTGCCTCAGCAGTTCCTCGCGACGTCTTCAGCAGGGCATGGTAGTGCAAAGGAAGGCAACGCACTGCGAGGGACGGTGACGCAAGGCAGTCCAAGTCAAGCCAGGGCGGCGCTGGACAAGGTGACGCCGGCTGGCACGCATTCAGGGAACAGCAAGGCAAGCAAGGTACAGTACATGAGTTTGGGTGTGATCCAGAGTTGAGGCAGGGCCTTGTCCAGCACGGCACCCCGACGCACATCACGGCAGCATACTGCAATGCGATGCAGAAAAGGGTGCGCGACAGTTGCGTGGCAGCACTGCTTGGCAAAGCAGGGGCATTCCAATGCTCGGCCTGGCGCCTGCTCGTCGTGCGCATTCCTCATACAGCGGCGCCCGCCGTAGCGTTCCTCATACCTTGCTAACGGAGGGGCGGCTAACTTCTCAATTCTGTGAGCCGTGAGTCTGGCGAAGCTTCCGAGTCAATGCGTCCCTTCCGCACCACCATTCTTTTGCCCTGCCCGCTCTTTCTCCTTGCACGCAGTGTCTGCCTGTTGTAATGACTTGTTCTGCTCCCACAGCTATATACTTTGGCTCTCGGGAAACGGAAAAGGTGCGAGCCTGCGGCGCGCGCGCGTGCGTCGGCCGGCGGGCCAGCTTCCTCCCTTCAGTGTTACCTCAGTGTATTCTTGACGGCATTATCTTTTCTTACCGATGTCATCTGCGGAGCCCACTGACCATGAGACATCATCGGGACATCTTGCAGGCATTATGTATATCCAGGCGAAAGACCCGGTTATCAGCCGAAACGACGGCACAGCCGTTCGCTTCGCAGTGTATGGGATCTCAAGAAGGAGCGCTCGGGAGAACAGAAGATCGAAGACCTTCCGAGCGTGGCGCAAGTATACGCGCCTCAACGAGGCGATCAAACCCTCTTAACCTCCCCAGTAAGAAAGCATCCGAGACTATATTCGACCTAACGGAAGGGGATTCATCCGTTGATTCAGCGACAAGATTCAGAGGGCAATACTTGAACGCAAGGTATGGCACAGCCAAAACTTCCGCCGAGGGGTCCTCTGAGTTGGTGTCGGTACACCCTGGCTTTCAGCCATCGATCGACATAGATCTCGAAATGGAAAAGTTGTTGGATCATATCCCCATCGAAACATCAGGCGCTGAAAGTCTGCGCTCCGAGCATGCAATGCAATATGCGTTGTGTGGGCAGAGTGGGGATGTGAGTGGCCTGCAGTCTGAAGGGGGGCAGTGCGCACTCGATAGACAAGAGCAGGAATATGCCGATTTTAACACCTCGCCGGGTCCGTCGCGTCATCTCGAGCCTCTCCTTGGTCTGTGTGTCGGTCCAACTCCTGACCGTGTAATGATAGAGGCAAGTCAGAGAGCCACCAGTGACTCGGACGATGACTGTAGAGACAGAGAAAGCCTCAATCAAGGTGAATGCTCAACGGCACAGCCGACGTCGAGCTCCCCCGACGCCATGCGTGCGGTGAGAAATACGCGAGAAGCTACAGGCAGGACCCCCCCGCCCGCGTACGAAGAATCTGAAGGGTGAGAATGACGACTTGAACACCTCGCCCTTCTCGCAGGGTTTCTACAGACCTGACTTCTCGTTGCCCGGAACAAGCAGAGATAGAGTGCCGGAACTCGATGGGCTCGTCGTGCAGGACGAACGAGACAACCTGGCAATGAGCGTGGACGTTGACGCTATCAAGAGGGGCGCAAGATCGAGGGAACCACGCACGCCTACCCGAAGCAGTGAAAGGGGGCGCTCCAGTAAGGCCCCCAGGGCCGGGCGTTCCAGTTCCAGAGGATTGAATGCCTTTGATTCGCCGCGAGTGTCGTCGAATAAAACCACCGGCGGCTTCTCGATGCGGGAAGGCTGCTGGAACGCCGGGCCAACGTGCCCCGCTCGGGCGGAGAATCGGTGCCCAGGGAAAGCGCGCAAACTGGGGGGTTCATGTCGAAGACCAGTGTGTTCTCAATGTTCGAATGTTTGTTCCCAATCTAGCACTGCGTGGCTTTGTAATGAGTGCGTCGCAATGGAAGAGTACGACTGCCATCGTCTCGCGATTCAAGAGTGGGCGGAAAGAAACAGACAGGATCGAGAGCAGCTGAGGGCTGCGAGTGCGCACGTGCAACAGATTATCTCTGAGGCACAGGCAGATGAGGAGACCGCCGGAGAGGCTCAACGACAGCTTGCGGTTTCCGAGGCTGAGAGACAAGCAATTGCACAGAGGATGGAGCATGAGAAAGCCATCGTTGTGGATAACGCGCAGAAGCTGATGCAGCATGCTGACGCCAACGCAGCGGGCGTTGCAGACGAAGCACATCGGCGTCTTGCTCAAGAGGAAATAGAAAAATTGAGAATCCCGAGCATAGCGGAAACACATGTGTCTGTCTCTCAGCAGAAGGCCGACAGAGAGAAATCTGAAAACAGAGAGATGGCTGATGCTGCGAGGAGGGGAGGGGAAAAGGAAGCCCGAGAACAGGCAGCGCGAGAAAATCAGGAGCCCTGCAATCAACTGGAAGCTGCTAGACTCGAGGCCGAAAGAGTGAAATCTGAAGCACTGCGAGCCCTTAGAGAACAAGAACAGAAGACCCAAGCAAACAGAAGAGGATCATAAAAGAGTGGCCGATGCCTGGGGTCGTCTGAAGGGGCGCGGAAGAGAACGCATAGGAAACAACGTTCTTGCAACTCGGGCCGTAAGCGAGGAAAGTAGAAGGTTGAGGTCTGATCTTGGGCGACGACGAATCGAGAAAGAGGTTGATTCAACGCTGGCGCAGTCGGCACATGTTGAGCCATCTCCTCGCCCCATTGCTGCTCGCCCCATTGAGGCGTCTGGCGCGTCGCGAGCTCATGCGCGATTGGGCGCTCCGAATCAGGCCTGTCGCAGTTCTGCACAGCCTTCGCCCGATGTATGCAGGGGTTGTTTGAAGCGCGCGTGCAATGACCACCTGGATATGGGCACTAAGCGCTGCGATGAATGTGCTTGGAGGAAAACGCTAGGGTATCAGGAAGACTGCGAGGAGGGGGAAGAACCCTAAGGCATACCTGATGCTCAGAGCGCAGGCAACGATCCTGATGGGAAGGCGCCGAGACACTCGGCCTCGCCTAAGGATGTTGAACCCGAACGCCAGATGAGCAATCTTGCCGACATCATGGGCGTGCCAGTTATCAAATCAGAAATGTCGGATCTTGGCAAGATGCCGATGCTGACTGCTCCGTCGATGCCGACGCTCCATCTTGCAAAATCGCATTTCGTTCTTGGACCGGCGGTCGAGAAGACTTCGGGGGCAAGCGAAAGTCCGACGCGGGGGGGCGCTCAAAGAACCGACGGCCCCGCTTGGGCCTCACCCGCCTCCCCGCCCCTTCACTGGCTCCCACCTCTTGCAGTTTCCCTCCTCCGTCGCGCGCCTGGCCGCCAGCTTTTTCTGACCGCAGCGCCCCTTCGCCTCGCCCGCCCCCCCCCCCCCCCGCGCCGCCTTCTTTGCTGCGACTGCCGCGTCGCACCTGGGAGCACCGCACCCTTCCTCACTGGGACCTCCTGGCAGGATTTGTGGAGGCGGGCCCCTGCTCAAGGAGAAGCGCGCCGAGGTGGGCTTCAGTTCCCCCTGGGGGGCTGGGACCCACGCTCGGGCCACCTTAGCGCCCGCGGTGCGCCGGCGCATGCAGGCGCCACCAGCCTCACTCCGCCTCCCCCCCCGCTACTTTGATCGTGGCCATCCGTCGCTCCTGTTTCTCTCTATCTCCATCTTCGTTTTATTCCGCCTACCTCCCCAGCGCCGTTGGGAGGGATGGGCTCGAGGGCTTCGACAGTATCGGTGACACAGTCCGCAGCTTCGACTTTCGAGGAGGGGGGGAAGGACGAGGAAGTGGAGGAGGCGGAGGAGGCGGAGGAGGCGGAGGAGGAGGAGGAGGAGGAAGCGGAGGAGGAATACGCGGAGGAAGAAGAGGACGTCCGCCGGCGCCCAGGGACTGGGCCGCGCCGCCGCGAGTGCGGCGCAGGCGCCCCCCAGCGTTCCGCCGGGCATGCCTGCCGCGCCAAGCCTGGAGACGCTGATCCTCGAGGCAGCGGGCGGCCCGCTGGGCTTTCCCCCGGATCTCCTTCGACATGTTTTTGTCAATGCGAGGTCCTGGTCCTGTAGCTTCGCACTCTGGCCCGTCAAAGACTTCCTCGTCGCTGTGCGCCTCTCTGGCACTGGCGCACAAACGCTACATGTTCCGAGCGCGGTCTCCTTCCCCCCTTTGCCCCTTGTGCCTCCCGCCGCATCTGTTCAGTGCTTCAAGTCATATCGGACGCGCCCCTCCGTCGCTCGAGTGCTACTTTTGACAAGCGGCCGCGGACCAGCAACATTGTTTTCGATGCCGGCGCTCTTTCCTTCATTTCGGCCTCTGGGGGCCGCTTTCGGGCCCAGGCGCAATCAGAAATGGGTCCGGGGCCAAAATATCGCCCCCGAGGAAGGGGGTCCAGAGTTCTGGGGTCGCGAATTCAAAACGTCAAATCGTCGGTTGTCCGAGTCCAGAGACATGGGAGATTTTCTGGTCGCCTGGCCCAGAACAGGAGGGCTCCCAGCAACCCGAGACGGTCAGAATTTTGGGACGTTTTGACTATTTGGGAGGCTCCGCCCGAGGTTCTGATTGGTGCGTTCTGCTGCGCTCGACATTTGTATGTGGCGCCAGCTTCCAGACTTTCCGCGGACCTTGCTTCAGCGCACTTCCACTCGTGCTTGCGTGTTCGCAAAGGTCCGTTGTTACTCGTCTGCTCCGCGCAGCGCCAGCCCAAGATCGGAGGTTGGGGGGTGAGATCGCAGTGGAACAGAGACCCCAAACCGGGAAATCGTTTCGTTTCGTTCGTGTCGTGCGTGCAGGCGGGGCGAAGCTGCGTGGGCGCGCGAGAGGAATTAACCCGCCGTTGCTGGGGCGAAGTCGAGACAAATGATTCTCCCCCGCCCGCCCGTCCGGCCGTGGCTCGCGGCCTCCCGCGGTGTCCCGAGGTCCCGTGGTGTCCCGTGGTGTCCGCCGTTGCTAGCGCGAAGTCAAGACGAATGATTCTCCCCCGCCCGCCTGTTCGTCCTTCCGTCCGGCGGTGGCTCGCGGCCACCCCGCGGTGTCCCGTGGTGTCCCGAAAAGTGAGATCGAGAGTGAGATCGATAGTGAGATCGATAGTGAGATCGATCGTGAGATCGCTAGTGAGATCGATAGTGAGATCGATGTGGTGCTCCGAGGTGTCCCGTGGTGTCCCGTGGTGTCCCGTTGAGTGAGATCGATAGTGAGATCGATAGTGAGATCGACAGGTGCTCCGTGGTGTCCCGTGGTGTCCCGTGGTGTCCCGTGGTGTCCCGTGGTGTCCTATGGTGTCCCGTTGAGTGAGATCGATAGTGAGATCGATAGTGAGATCGATACTGAGATCAATGTGGTGCTCCGAGGTGTCCCGTGGTGTCCTGCAAAGCTGCATCGATAATGAGATTGATAGTGAGATCGACAGGTGTCCCGTGGTGTCCCGTGGTGCCCCGTTGAGTGAGATCGATAGTGAGATCGATAGTGAGATCGATGTGTTGCCCCGAGTTGTCCCGTGGTGTCCTGTGGTGTCCAAGAAAGTGAGATCGATAATGCGATCGATAAGTGAGATCGACAGGGGTCCCGTGGTGTCCTGTGGTGTCCCGTGGTGTCCCGTTGAGTGAGGTCGATAGTGAGATCGATAGTGAGATCGATAATGAGATCGATGTGGTGTCTCGAGGTGTCCAGTGGTGTCCCGTGGTGTCCCCTTTTGCCCCGTGGTGTCCCATTGTGTCCCGTTGAGTGAGATCGATAGTGAGATCGATAGTGAGATCGATAATGAGATCGCTGTGGTGTCCCGAGGTGTCCCGTGGTGTCCCGTTTTGTGCCCCGTGGTGTCCTATGGTGTCCCGTTGAGTGAGATCGATAGTGAGATCGATAGTGAGATCGATGTTTGCCCCGAGTTGTCCCATGGTGTCCTGTGGTGTCCCAAGAAGTGAGATCGATAATGAGATCGATAAGTGAGATCGACCGGTGTCCCGTGGTGTCCTGTGGTGTCCCGTGGTGTCCCGTTGAGTGGGGTCGATAGTGAGATCGCTAGTGAGATCGATAGTGAGATCGATGTAACTTTTCCCAAGACATCGTTTCTCATTCTGTGTTTCCTCATGTGCTTCAAGGTCACACTCCAATCTTCCATCGGAATCTGGGTAGATGCGGCACATGAAATTCGAATCACCTGAAGAGCAGGGGTCTATGGGTTTTTGAGGTTCTTCATCGGTCGCAGCCGATGACCTCCGAACCTCAGGGCCTCCATCTTCTCTCGAACCGTTGTCTATCTTCGCTCGCCGTCGAACAAATGAATGCAAGGCAGGCCCTATTGGACTCCATGGGAGCAGTTGGTCTTCAATCTCCTGCTGCATAGGTTCCCAAGCTTCTGACTCGTTCATGGGTTTTCGAGGTTCTTCATTGGCACCCTCCTGTTGCTTCCGAACGTCGGGGCCTCCATCTTCCCTCTGGCAATCGCTGTCAAGCGACAGCACTTGGTCAAGCAATTGTTCGCAAATGGCAATCCTGGGAACCTGGCATTTCGGAGCGTGGGTACGGCGGATCTGTTCTCTTCGTGTTTGGCTCGTCGTTTTTGTTCCTGGTCACACTCCAATCCTCCATAGAATTCTGGACAGTTGCGGCGCAAGAACATTCCATCACCAGCTTACGACCCTGTCACGCGAGAAAAAGTCGCAACAGGTACAGTATCGGAATGGCTGCAAGGATTGCTTTGTTTATTCTCCGTCGCCCCTCCTCCCCCCTACTTCCTCTCTGGCCCGTCACTGGAGAATGAATGGGGCGGAAGTCGTGTGAGTGAGTTTCAGTGCAAGTTCTCCCTCCGTCGGGTCTCAAATTGCCTGAGCCTCCAACGCCGACTGGAGGACGAAGGAGCATGGGGAGGAGGATGAGGAGGAAGAGGAGGACCAGTGCAAACCCAACAACGATGCTGCAATAGACCGTCCCTCTAGGTTTCTCCATCACAGGCCCCGCGCAAAAGGGTTCATTATCACTGAGGGAAGTGCCCCGTTGGAAGATAACTTTGTGAAAATCTGGAACTGTGCCAGAACACCATTCCTGGGAACTCAACGCCCGGAATCACCATGACTGTTGCGTCTTGACGGTCCTGAATCGTGCCAAGACATCGTTTATTGGGGCTTCAACACCGCGAATTCACGTAACTGTTGTGCCATGTCTGTGATGTTAGGGATGCGAATCTTTGAGCCGTCTTCGAACTCTGGAGACGAATGTGCGCGGCGCTGAGGGGATAGCCGCATTTTGAGAAAAGACAGCCGTCCATCCGTAAAACTATTGCCAACTTGTAAAACGATTTTGCGCGACGCTAAGGCAAGGGCCACATTTTGAAAGCGAGCCGCCCTCCATCCGTGAAGCTTTTGTGAAGTTTCAAGTCGAATGTGTGCCGCGCTGAGGCGAGAACCGCATTTAACAAAAAGGAGTCGCCCTCCATCCGTGACGCTCCTGCACAGTTTCAAGACGAATGCGCGCGACGCTAAGGCGAGAGCCACATTTTGAAAGCGGACCGCCCTCCATCCGTGATTTGTTTCCATCCATCCTGTGGTGTTGGGACCTCGCTTTGAAGAGACAGCGCCCCACGTCTCCCTCCCCCTCCTCTTCCCCCTCCCTTCTCCCATCCGTGCCTTTGCCCTCCGCACCAGACAACAATTTGGGAACACCCCTCACACGCTTCGTGGCCCTATAGGGGGGTCCATTGAATGCCCCAGTGGCTACGTTCGCACGCGCCCGCCTCACCCAATTCGGCACACACACACACACCTCACACATTTCGAAGGCCCAGGTGGCTGCGTTCACATGCGCCCGCCGCACCCATTTCGGCACAACCTTCACACGCTTCGTGGCCCCATATGGAGCTCCAGCGAAGGCCCCAGAGGCTGCGTTCACATGCACCTGACGCGCCCATTTCGGCACACACATCACACGCTTCGTAGCCTTATAGGGAGCTCCACTGAAGGCCCCAGTGGCTGCTTTCGCATGCGCCCGCCGCACCAATTTCGGCACACACACACACACCTGACACGTGTCGTGGCTCCGTAGTGAGCTCCACCGAAGGCCCCAGTGGCTACGTTCGCACGCGCCCGCCTGACCCATTTCGGCATAACCTTTACACTTTTCGCGGCCCAATGGGGAGGGAGCTCCACCGAAGGCCTCGGTGGCGGTGTTCGCATGTGCCCGGCCCTCCTATTTCGGCACGCCTTTCACACGATTCGTGGCCCCATAGGGAGCGCCACCGAAGGCCCCAGGTGGGCCCCATAGAGAGCTCCACCGAAAACAATCTTCACAGCAGCGTTGTTCATAACTGCATATGGTTGGGACCTTCGCCAGGCTAAGAAAGACGAGTGTGCGCGGCGCCAGAGCCACATGCTGAAAGCGGCAGCCCTCCATCCGTGAAGCTCTTCCAAATGTCAAACTCGAGGATCGTAAATGATGAAGAAGTCTGAGGCGAAACACCCGACCCTCATTTTCGACTGGCCTCGGGGTGCGACAAGTTTTTTTTTTTTTTTTTTTTTTTTTTTTTTTTTTTTTTTTTTTTTTTTTTTTTTTTTTTTTTTTTTTTTTTTTTTTTTTTTTTTTTTTTTTTGTTTTTTTTTTATTTATTTATATATATATGTATATATATAAAACATATATTACCATTAGTATTCGTATTCTTAGTATTGTTATTGATGTTTTTGGTGTGATTATTTTTTATGATTGTTATTCTGATTATTATTATTAATAATGCTATTATGATTATTATTGTTGTTGTTATTATTATTATTAATACTTGTATCGCCATCAAGAAAACATTGCTATTATCATGGTTATCCATATTATTATCATTGTTCTTATTGCCGTTAATCGTCTTACTCTTATTATTATTATTACTATTATTATTATTATTACCATTATTATTAGTATTATTATTCTTATTATAGTTGTTGCTGTTGTTATTATTATTACTACTAGTATTATTCGTATTTTTAGCATCATTTTTTAATCCGTATTCTTCGTATTTTTACATTCACATTTATTTGTATTCTTATTCTTATCATTACCAATACCAATTATTATTCTTCAGAAAAAATGGGAGAGGGATGGAGGGACAGCGAGAAGCAGAAGCATGCTCCTCCTCCTCCTCCTTCCTCTCTCTCTTTCTCTCTCCCTCTCCCCCCCTCCCCCTCTTCCTCCCTTCCTCCCGGGGCACCGCTTCTGCTCGGATCCGACTCCTTTGCAGCAAGCGCCGCGGAGGCCCTCGGCGCCACCCCGGAGCCGATGACCGCCATCGACATCGCTCGCGCCGTCCACAGGGCAGCGGGGCCTCAGAAAGGGTCCGTGTCCTGCCGAGTCTTGTCTCAGACCCACCCGCCCTCCTAGGTGGGGACAGGCCCGCGAAATCCGAAGGAGCAGGCATGTATCCCCAGTTGTTCGATGGGTAGCTCGGCCACTGGGGCCAAGGCCACGCCAGTGGGGATAGGAATCGGTTGAACGCTGTTCAGCAGCAGGCGCGGCCCATCCGGCCCCGGAAGCCACCTCCTTCCTCCTCTTTCCCCTCCCTGGCCTTCTGTCGAATTATCGATGCAGACTGTCGCATCGAGCTCTGAATCAAGCCTCGTCCCCTCCTCCCCCCCTGTACACTCGGCACGTCGCAGTCGGGCCACGGGGGCCCGTCCCTTCATCGGTCGTTAGCTCCCTCCTCCCCCCCTTCCTCCGCCCGCCGTCCTCCTCCCTCCTCGCATCACCCCTCCTGGCAGCTGCCCTGGCGGCTGCGGGAGGCGCCTCCTCCGGGCTCCCTGCCCATCCCCCTGGCCCATCCTCCTCCCTCTGCCCTCCTTCTTCCCCCCCCTCCCTAATGCCGCAGGCCCCCGCCTGGCACCAACCCTCTTCCCTGTGAAGCACCGTGGGGACGCATGCGGTCTCCCACGAGAGAGCCTCGGCAGGGCCGCCCTTCCCAGATGCCCCGCGGAAGGACCGCGCCAGCGATGTCAACCCGACGCTGTTCCGCCTGAGGGAGGACCCTCCGTCTCCCGATCCCGCTCCCCCCCGTCCCTTTTCGCTGCCTCCTCCGACCCCCGCTCTCCACTCCCGCTCTCTCTTCCGCCTGTTCATCCTGGGGACGAAGTCTATACATATCCACTGCTCCCTGGCCAGGCCCTTCCTGAACCCAGGAGCTGTGTATACGCCCTCCTGGCCAAACCAGGAGGGCGTGGCGTATACACAGCTGCTGGGTTCAGGATGGGCCTGGCCAGGGAGCAGTGGATATGTATAGATTGCGTCGCCCTAATCCTCCGCGCCCCACTTGCCCGAAGTTCACGCGTTCGGATGCGTTAGAATCGTGGAGTCTGCCTGCCGGCAGCTCCTGCAGGGCGCGCTCCGGCGCACGCCGGCCTCCCGCTCGCCGCTCCCGCTCCCATATTTCTCCTCTCCGGCTCCACCCCGCTGCCCCTCCTCCTCCTCCTCCTCCTCCTCCTCCTCCTTCTCCTCTCCCCTCCTCCTCCTCCTCCTCCTCCTCCTCCTCCTTTCTCCTCTCCGGCTCCACCCCGCTGCCCCTCCTCCTCCTCCTCCTCCTCCTCCTCCTCCTCCTCCTCCTCCTCCTCCTCCTCCCTCCTCCTCCTCCCCTCTATGATCTTCCCGCGCCCCCATTTTTGGACCCCCTCCTGGCTTTGGGTTTGATTCACCCCCATCCCGAGGCCTTCAAATACACGGCAATGTATTTCCATGTGTACCGGTTGGCCCACCAGGAAAGCAGGGCCCGTCCGTGTCCTTTTCCTCCGGAGGCCGCGCAAAGCTTAGCGCAGGCCCTCCAGCTCGTGCCTCGAGGGCACGGCGGCGGATTTTCCCGATTTGCTTGATTGTTGTCGCACGTCGAATTTTCCACCGGACTTTGTTGTCCTCTGTCGTCGTCGTCGTCATCGCCCTCCGCATTCCTCCTCGTACTCGCCCTCGTTCTCTTCGTCCTCGTCCTCGTGCTTCTCGTCCTCCTCGTTGTCCTGATGCTCCTCCTCGCTATCATCACGTTCGCCACGTCGTCCTCGTCATCGACTCCTCGTTGCCCTCGCGTTCCTGTTCTTCTTCGCCCAATACGCCCACTAGACTAAAGCGGCGCTTCCCGTTCTTGTTCGATCAGGTTTTCCTGATTTGTTTGTTTGTTGTCGCACGTCGAATTATCCACCGGACTCTTTTTTGAACCTGATGAAAGTTATTTCTTTGAACTTTCAGCATTTGTCCCATGTCAACCCTTTGCCTCAGGTTGCACGTTACAAGACACATCAAAACCAGGCAGACGAGCATGAGATGTACGTCAACGACGAACGCGGCAGGATGATGATGATGATGCTGATGCTGATGCTGATGATAAGGATGAGGATGAGGATGAGGATGATGATGACGACGACGAAGACGACGACGATGATGACGATGATGATGATGATGATGATGGTGGTGGTGGTGGTGGTGATGATGATGATGATGATGGTGGTGGTGGTGATGATGATGATGATGATGAGGAGGAGGTTGCGTTGAGATTTGCTCCAGTTCAATGCTCTGCCTGAGCTGGCGCGTGTCTTCAACGCTCCCTCCTGGTCCGCAGCCTCGCTGTCATCGTCCTTCCTTCTTTCTCGTCGTTCCTTCTCCTTTTCCTCCCTGCCTCTTCCCTCATCTCTCTTGACGGCATCTTGAAGACTCCTTGGGGACCAGGTCTCAGCACCGTGCCCTTGGTGCACGTTCACAGTGGCCCTCTCATTTTCTGGTTTGGATCATCTCGATCAGTCGCCCTTCCCGCGCGAGGAGGGCAGCATCGAGCAGGCTGGCCTTAGCGGGAAGAGGCCCACCTGGCGCCTGCAGCAGTGAGAGCTGGCATGCATTGACCAGGCCGCCAGGATCAGCGTCGCTACTGGGGAGTCCGAGAACCGGGGGACAAATCATGACATTAACAGAAACCTTGGAGTTCCGCGCAGATTTCTTGGATTGGCGCTGGGGCCCCCATGCCGTGGCGCGCGGAGCGCGCCAGGGGCCGCTCGGGAGGCGCCGCCGCCAGGGCGTCCACCGCCGATCCAGGAAGTCCGCGCGGACCTCCGAAAGTTGGTCCCCGAGAGAAGCTGGCTTGCCCCGTGGCAAGGCGCACAGGAATGTGGATTCGCTCGGTCGGTGAATCCAGCAGCCTACCAGAATCGGGCGCAGCCCCGTGCTTTTATCGAGTGGCCTCGGCCCATCCCGCCACCTTGCCTGGGCTGCTCGTGCAAGGGTGTACGTGGGAGCATGGGTGGGAATGCTGCGGGCTCCCAGGATGCGAGCCTTCTTGGCGTCTCTCGGGCCCCGACCTGGGGGGCCGCCTGGGAGCCTCTCCACTGGTGCCTCCTGGGGGTGCGAATTTTGGGGCCTCGTGTCCCTGAAGGAGCGCTCGGGCTCCCCTCTGTGGGTCCCTCTCGGGGCCGCCTCGGGGGCCACGGCCTCTCTGGAGGCCTCGAGAATTGTCCTGCGGCGATCCTGGGGTCTTCGTCGGCCGACTTGGACGCTCTCGATACCGAAAGGGGAGAACGCTTGAACGTTTTTGGGCTCTTCAGCGAGTCGCCAGAGGTCCCCAAACTGCCCAAGGGATCCTTCAGAGGACCCCAGGATGGGGTCACCGGGGCCGTCTTGGCGAATGATGAGGGCCTGGATCCTCGACCACGGTCCTTGGGGCTTTGGGAGAGCCACGCGAGAAGCACGCAGGAGTTCGCAGGAGCGTCCGAAAGCTCCTGGATACAATGTCGGGGGCCTTGTGCCCTCAAGAGGTTTCCAGTATCATAGTATCTGACATTGTGGACAGGGGACTGGGGGACTTGAGTACACTCCACTCTGTGCCAGAGGTACGGCGGATTTTGCATGCTGCCATTCCGTCATGGCAACCGGCAGGTTGCCATGACGAGCTGCTGCAAGCCCTGGGCCGCACTGTGCACTGGTCCTCATAAAGACGGGACTGTTCGATCAGCACGCCCCGCTGCAAAACACCATCGGCTCGTGCGAGCAGCAGTGGGTCTCTATCTCTCTCTCTCTCACTCTCTCTATGTATCCCTCGATGACTGTGTTTTGACATCGCCATTTTCTTTCATCTCCCCATTATCCCCTTCTTTTCTTTCTTTCTCTCCCTCCTTCCGTTTCCTTAGTCGGGCGCGCACCTTCTCTCGATGTCTGTCCGCACTGGAGTAGATATCTCCCCTTCTGTTTATCTTTCCCTTTCTCTTTCTCGTTCTGTTTCTCTTTCCTTTTCCCTTTTTTTTTTTTCTCTCTCTCTCTCTCCCTCTCTTTCTCTCTCTATTTCTTTTATTCCCTACCTAGGCTCTGCCTAGAAGGGTTCTTACTCGGTATGCTTAAAGGGCCGGGCAGTGGGCCCCGCCCCGGGCGGTTCCCCCAGTATCCACCCCGCGGTTCCCCCAGTCACGTTCCCTTAGCTTAGCGTTGCTTATCTCATCTTAGCTTAGCTTATTTCCCTACCTAGGCTCTGCCTAGAGGGTTCTTACTTGGTTTGCTTAAAGGGGCGGGCAGTGGAAAACGCCCCGGGCGGTGCCCCCAGTCCCCGCCCCGCGGTTCCCCCAGGTACGTCCCCTTAGCTTAGCGTTGCTTATCTCATCTTAGCTTAACTTAGCTTCGCTTAGCTTCATCTTAGCTTCGCTTAACTGTAGCTTAGCTTAGCTTAGCTTAGCTTATCTTAGCTTATCTCAGCTTAGCTTAGCTTTAGCTTAGCTTTAGCTTAGCTTTAGCGTAGCTTTAGCTTAGCTTTAGCTTAGCTTTAGCTTAACTTTAGCTTAGCTTTAGCTTAGCTTTAGCTTAGCTTTAGCTTAGCTTTATCTTAGCTTTAGCTTGGCTTCAGCTTAGTTTTAGCTTAGCTTTAGGCTTAGCTTTAACTTAGCTTTATCTTAGCTTTAGTTTAACTTTATCTTAGCTTTAACTTATCTTTAGCTTAGCTTTAGTTTAGCTTGATCTTAACTTTAGCTTAGCTTTATATTAGCTTTAGCTTACCTGCAGCTTAGCTTTATCTTAATGTTTGCTTAGCTTTAGCTTATCTTTAGCTTAGCTGTAGCTTAGCTTTAGCTTAGCTTTAGCTTAGCTTTAGCGTAGCTTTAGCTTAGCTTTAGCTTAGCTTTAGCTTAGCTTTAGTTTAGCTTTAGCTTAGCTTTAGCTTAGCTTTAGCTTAGCTTTACTGTTACTACTAATGCTGCTTTCCTAGGGGCTCCAACTCCTAGGTAGGGTTGCACTGGGATTATATATATACACACATGTATGTATGTATGTGTGTGCATGTATGCATGTATGCATGCATGCATGCATGCATGTATGTATGTATGCATGCATGCATGCATGCATGCATGCATGTATGTATGCATGTATGTATGTATGTATGTATGTATGTATGCATGCATGCATGCATGCATGTATGTATGTATGTATATACATGTATGTATGCATGTATGCATGTATATATGTATGTTTGTTTGTATGTATGTATTGGTATATTCATGTATATATATATATATATATATATATATAGAGATATGTATGTATGTATGGATGTATGTATGTATGCATGCATGTATGTATGTTTGTACGTATGTATGTATGTATGTATGTATGTATGTATGTATGCATATATGTATGTATGTATGTATGTATGTATGTATGTATTTATGTATGTATGTATGTATGTATGTTTGTATGTATGTATGTATGTATGTATGTATGTATGTATGTATGTATGTGTATATATATATATATATATATATATATATATATCCCCGTACACGACGCCCGGGCGCCCAGGGCGGCTGCCCCGAGGGGGCATGGGAGTACCGGGCGTCGTTTTCCATGTTTTTTTTTCCGGGGTTTCGGCGTCCCGGAGCCAACAGGGCCCCAAGAGGCTGCAGGGAGGCCCCAGGAGGCCGCAGCAATGGCTCCAGACGCTTTTCAAGACGACTCCCATGACGCCAAGAAGGCTCCCGAAGGCCCCGAAGACGCCCCAAGAGGCACACCGAGAGAGCCCAATAAGCAAACATCGCAGATTTCCTATGGGAAAGCTGATACTTTTGGCGTGCTTGCCTTTTGGGCGTCCACTGCGTCCAAGACGGCCCAAGAGGCACCCAAGCCGGTCGAGGATGCCCCCAAGAGGGCCTCAAGACGGCCCACGAGGGGGCCAAGACGGCCCACGAGGCGCCCAAACCGCACAAGAACGCCCCAAGGCGGCGCCCAAGACGGGGACGAGGAACCGGAAATTCGGGCCTTTTGGCCCAAGAGACCCTAGGAGACCCCAAGACGCTCCAAGAAGGGGCCCAGAAGCCCCAAGAGGCCCCCATGAGACCCGAAAAAACAGCAAAAGAGGCTCCGAAGACGCCCCAAGAGGCACCCCGAGAGTGGCCCAATAAGCAAACATCGTCGATTTCCTATCGGGAAACTGATATTTTTGGCGTGCTTGCCTTTTGGGCGTCCACTGCATCCAAGACGGCCCAGGAGGCACCCAAGGGGCTTAGGGCGGTTGGCTTCGTTCTAGGGTGGGTGGAGTGATAGGGCTAGGTGGGGGTAGGGTGGTAGGATTGAGGTGTTGACGCTCAGAGCTTAGGGCTTAGGGATTGGGGCTTAGGGCTTTAGGCTTTGGGGTTTAGGCTTGGCTTGGGGCTTGGGGCTTGGGGCTTGCGGCTTGGGGCTTGGGGCTTAGGGCTTAGGGCTTAGGTTGGGGCTTCGGGCATAGGGCTTAGGGCTTGAAGATTAAGGGTTTGGCAGGTAAGGTTTGGGTTAGGGTGGTAGGGTTGGTGGGGCGGTGGGGTTCGGCGTTGGGTGTTAGGGCTTGATTGGGGTAGGATGTCAGGGTTCGGATGTGGGGGCCAGGGCTGTGCAAGCTCGGTTGGGGTGTTCAGGTTGGGGTGGAAGGGTTAGGGTTCGGTTGTTAGGGTTAGGGTGTTAAGGTTAGGGTGGGGGTGTTAGGATTAGGGCAGTGGGGTTGGGGGTGGGGTGTTCGGGCTTACGTGTTAGGCTCAGGGTGTTCGGGTTAGGGTGCTAGGTTTGGGCTCATTGGCTGTTACCTAACAGCGAAGACTGATAGATTTCTAGTGGGGTCAAAAGAGAGCATCTTGACTCCCCAGGGGGGTCTGTGCGGGTGCCGGGAGAATCCGGGGACTCCCGGGATTCCCCAGGACTTCTATAGAGTCCTATAGTTTCCTATGGATTCCTACAGATTCTGTTCCCAGAACACCATTCCCAGGCCACATTTTGAATGCCTGGAGCCAAGTGTAGGCCACTTCGTGTTCTTCGTGTTCCCATCCCAGGCCACATTTTGAATGCCCGGAGCCAAGTGTAGGCCACTTCGTGTTCTTCGTGTTCCCAGAACACCATTCCCAGGCCACAGTCTGAATGCCCAGAGCCAACTGTAGGCCACTTCGAGTTCTTCGTGTTCCCAGAACACAATTCCTGTATCATATTTTGATTGCCCGGAGCCAATTGTGGGCCACTTCGTGATCTTCGTGTTCCCAGAGAGCCAGTCCTGTGCCATATTTTGAATGCCCGAGCTGAGGCAGGCTGAGGCTGAGGCAGGCTGAGGCCGAGGCAGGCTGAGGCTGAGGCTGAGGCACGCCGAGGCAGGCTGAGGCTGAGGCTGAGGCTGAGGCTGAGGCTGAGGCTGACGCAGGCTGAGGAGGCAGGCTGAGGCTGAGGCTGAGGCTGAGGCTGAGGCCGAGGCAGGCTGAGGTTGAGGCTGAGGCAAGCCGATGCAGGCTGAAGCTGAGGCTGAGGCTGAGGCTGAGAGTCAGGCTGAGGCTGAGACAGGCTGAGGCTGAGGCTGAGGCAGGCTGAGGCTGAGGCAGGCTGATGCTGAGGCCGAGGCAGGCTCAAGCCGAGACAGGCTGAGGCTGAGACTGAGGCTGAGGCTGAGGATGAGGCCGAGGCAGGCCGAAGCTGAGACAAGGTGAGGCTGAATGGGGAGGGGGGGGGGGGGGGGGGGGGGGAAGGGAGGGGGGGGGAGGAGGGGAGGCTGAGGCAGGCTGAGGCCGAGGCAGGCTGAGGCCGAGGCAGGCTGAGGCTGAGGCTGAGGCAAGCCGAGGCAGGCTGAGGCTGAGGCTGAGGCTGAGGCTGAGGCTGAGGCTGAGGCTGAGGCAGGCTGAGGCTGAGGCTGACGCAGGCTGAGGCCGAGGCAGGCTGAGGCTGAGGCTGAGGCAGGCTGAGACTGAGGTCGAGGCAGGCTGAGGCTGAGGATGAGGCAAGCCGAGGCAGGCTGAGGCTGGGGCTGAAACTGAGGCAGGCCGAGGCATCCGTAGGAATCCATAGGAATCCTTAGGAATCCCTAGGAATCCTCAGGAATCCGTAGGCATCCTTAGGAATCCGTAGGCATAGTTAAGCATCCTCGGGAATCCTTAGGAATCCTCAGGATTCCCTAGGAATCCTTAGGAATCCCTAGGAATCCCCAGGAATCAGGATTCCTAAGGATTCCTAAGGTTTCCTAAGGATTCCTATGGATTCCTAAGGATGCTAAAGGATGCCTTAGGAATCCATAGGAATCCCTAGGATTCCATTGGATCCTAAGGCCGTTGCCACTGCGACTGTCATTGCGAATGCGACTGCGACTGCGAGAACAGCAGAATTCTACAACTGGATTCTCACCTGAATCTTAAGGGGAATGCTTCCAGATATGCTTATACACATCGCTGTTAGGTTGCTTTGCCAGGGTATTTCTTTGGGGGCTTCGGGTGTTTGGGTTAGGGTGTTAGGGTCAGGGTGTTAGGCTTAGGGTCCAGGGTGTTTGGTTTCGAGTGTTAGGCTTAAAGGTGTGAGGCCTAGTGTATTTGGGTTCGGGTGCCATGGCCAGGTTGTTAGGGTTGTGCTGTTCTGGTTGGTTTTCGGGTTTTACTGCGTTGGTGTTTGGGCCAGGGTGTTGCGCTTAGGGTGGTGGGGTTCGGGATATTGCGGCGTGGCTCGGAGTGGGGTGTCTGGGCAAGATAGGGGTCGGGCCGAAGGCTTCGGGTTGCGGAGTTCGGGTTCGGGTTCGGGCGGTAGGGTTAGGGGGTGGGGTTCCGGAGCCGGGCGGCGGCGCGGCCAGCGGGGAGGGGGGTGGGCCTCGGTTTTCGAGTCCAAGTGGGGGGAGTTCAAGCACCCTCCCTGATGAGGGGAGGGGGCTCGGGGTTGCGCGGTTCCAGTGCGACGGATCTTGAACAGGGGGCCCTGGGGCGACGGGCCGGAGAATGGGGGGGAGGTTCCCCCCTCCCTTTCCCGGGGCGGCCGGCGGCGCCCCCCCAGCTCGGGGGCGGAAAAGAGGGGGGTGATGACTAGGGGGGGGTGGATATCATGGCGGGGGCCATGATATTTTCCCAGATTTCATGGCGCCTCTTCTTGTTTCATTACGTCCCTGGCCCCCCCGCTGGGCCGCGCACATGCCGCCGGTCATGATTTGCACCCCCCCCTCTTGGACACCCCCCTCTTGGCCGCTCCCGACCAGCCGCGCTCGCATCCAATGGGTTGCCGCTGCAGCGCCCGCCAGATCCGCGCCCGCCGCCCAGCAGGACGTCGACGCCGCGTTCGAGAACAGCTTTGCAGATGCCCTGTCTGCAGCGGAGTGTCTCCAGCGCGGGGTGGTCGCTGTGGTTTCCACCCCCAGGGCAGGAGGGCGCCAACTCTGCGTTCTGGAACAGCCGGGCTCTGCAGGGGGCCTCTGACCGCCGCCGTCTAGACCAACGCCGCCGCCCTCTTCCGCTCGCGAGGCAGCGTGCAGTGATCGTGCTGGAGGAAACCCGCGGACCCGAGTGCGACATGCACCTCCTTGTGAACTCTTCTAACCAGGACGCCTTTGTCGGGCGCCGTTCTGGCACCCCGAACAACCCCTCGGCTGGCGGCATCGGCTTCCTTGCCCCGATTGACGAGGTCGAGCTGAGCCGCTCGCCAAGAGGACCGACCACTTCGCTCCTTCGCAGTGGTCGCCCAATGGCGAGCAGCGCGGCTCCGTGTTACCGACGTCGAAAGAAAGGCGCTGCAACACCGCGACGCTAAATTTCCACAATAGCGGCCTGTCCCCTGCTGACCTGACCGTGCGGGGCTTCTTCGACATTGGCGGCTCATGAGTGGGCGTGCTGGCGCGCGCGAAGTGGAAGGCGTGCTGCTTATGCTCGGCGATGATAACATCTCCGCGCGCCCGCCGGAGAGCATCGGCTCCCCCGTCGACTCTGCCATCGCCGCTGCGACGGACGCTTCATCTCCCTTCCTTCGCACGCCATGGCCCCGATGGAGGCGGCGCTCGCCGCCGACGGCGCGCCGCTCGAGGAGGGCGGCGGCATGGGCAGCGACCGCGCGATCATGCGCTCGCTCCCGTGTCCGTTCTGCGCGCCAGAATCTCCGACGAGACAGCGGCGCCTCCGCCTTCGCCTTCGATTCGCCGCGCTGTCAGCGCCGCGATTCTTCCTTCGATGACGTGACCGACCTGCCCAGCTTGAGTGCCGCGGCCAGGCGGCGCGCGAAGAAGGCGCTTATGCGTGAAGCTGCTAGACGCGCGCGTGGCGCGATGACCTCGATCTAGACGGCCAAGCTGTCCAGCCAGGCATCGGGCCCTCCCAGAGCGGCCCGCGTCATGGCGCTCCGCAGCGTCGCGAGGGCGATGTGGCATCAAGACGCAGCGTTAGCGAACGAGCTGATCTACCGCGCGACCATCGGGCCCCGGCGTCCTCGAGTCGCTGAAGTCTGGGTGGCAGTCGACGATTGCGCCGCCTTCGAGACGTGCGCCGACACTGTTCACGAAGGTCTTTGGCACAATGTGGAATTCAAATCGGCCGCTCTCTCACGAGAGGCTTGTGCCGAGAAAGACGTCGAGCTCGGCGGTCGATTGCGCCGGCGCGCCCGACGTGCAGGCCGCGGAGGTGAATTGTGGAAGCCGTTCTCAAAGAGGCCAATGATGGCTAGTAGCCAGGCGCCCGCAGGCAGCGCCCATGGCGCTATCGAAGACCCCGTTGCCATGCGCGTCGCCATTGTGAACCGCTGAGCCGATCTTGGCCGCCAAGTACATCGACGACGTGACCGTCGTCTCCCGCCTGGACGGTGTCTTCTCGCAAGGGCCCGCGCGGGTGATCCAGGCCCCCGACGTCGCCGGCCTCGAGAAGACCGCCCGTCTCGCAGGCGACTCCGCTCTTGGATTTGACGGCCTTCCACGCCGCGCATGGCCCGGGGGCCGCGCGCCCCGGAGAGTTTTGAGGTGCTAGCAGAGCTACCCGGCGACAGCATTTTGTCCTCCGCCGCTCCGTTCGGCCTGAACCGCCCCCTCGCGGCCGCGCCCCTCCGGGGGCGACGGGCCGATGGGCAGGGTGGGGCGCGCCCGAGCCCCTGAGTGGCTACCCGCGTTGTTGATGACGTGCTCTGGCATCGAGATCATTGCTCCTGCGGCGAGCAGACCCCTGCGCAAAGTGGCCGCCGATGCCGTTCCCGAGCAGCAGGGCTTCGTCGACGGCCGCCAGTTCCCGTGGAACATCGCCGCCGTGGACGCGGAGGCCCGCCGTCTCAGCGTGCTGCCCGTGGCCGACGCAGACAAGCCCGTCTGTGCCAGTCGCGGCGCCGCGGCCGCCATCCCGATCTTTGTGCGCCAGTGGATGTGGGCGGTCCTCGGCAGGCGGGGCATCCGCGGCAGCGTGCTGTCCTTCTTCCGTTCGCGCGACTTTGTGCCGCTCGCCTTCCGCGAGCTGGGAGGTGAGCGACGCCCGTTGCTATGCGCCGCTTCTAGGGTGGCGCGGGGCCGCCCGCTCGGCGGCGCCATCTGGGTGTTCATTTTCGACCCTTCCGCCCGCGCCGTCGGCCGCGAGCTCGAGATCTGCGGGGGTCTCGTCGGCGCGCGCGCCCGCGACCTGGGGGCCATCCTCGCAAAGCCTTTCGACGTCGCTAAGCTCGCGCCGTGCGCGGCCGCTGCCGACGCGCTGACGGGCCTCGAGCTCCAAGCCAAGAAGGGCGTCCTCGTTCCTGCGCGGCCCCTACTTGTGCCGCTGCTGATCGAGCGGCCGCGCGTGGCCCTGGCAGGCGCTCGCCCTCCTGGGCGCGCGATCAATATCGAGGACACAGCTCGTCATCTCGGATTTTTTGTGGGCCCCGGCGCGACGCTCGAGGGCCAGTGGAGAGGGCCGTCTTCCAAGTGGCGGGGCCGCGTCGAGAAGCCCGTCGTATCGCGCGCTCCGCTCAATCAGTGCGTTCAGCACTATAGCACTATAACGTCACCGTCGGGACCTGCTCATCGTGCGTCGGCCAGTTGTGCGAGTCGCCGCGCGCGATGTTTCCGCGGAAGTACAGGCCGTCTACGAGTTCTGAGCGGCGCCCAGCGATATGGCGGGCTGCTCGCCGACGCCCCTGCGACTCTGCCTTCGAGGAGCTCGCCGTCACTGACGCCGTTGCGGGCAGCTGGCGCGCCAAATTCTGGTGGGCTAAAACCCGCGTCCATTGTGCCGCGCCTTCCTGGCGTGGCGGACTCGTAATTCTTTGGCGCCCGCAGGAGAGCGCGCTCCAAACGCATGGCCAGGTCCAGGGGCTCTCCTTCTCGTGTCCTCGCCCGCCTGCAGACCGCCCGCAAGTGGGCCGCCCGCGAGGGCGCCGCGGTCGTCTTGAACAGGCGCGAGAACGAGTTCGGCCGCGCGAAGTCCCAGCGAGCCCCGCAGACTGCTGATATGCTCGCGCTGCAGGAACGTCTCTACGTCGACGCGATGCCACGCGCGATCCGTCGCCGCATTCTCGCGTGGTTTCAGAGCCTCGAGCCGAACGTCCATTTTTTATTGCCAGCGTGATCCTGATCGATGCCGCGCTGATGAAGCGCAAGGACGCCCGTTGTGTCGAGCCGCTGCCCTGGCCGCGAGATGGGTCCGTGACGTGTTGCGACGTCGACAGCGAGTTGGTTTGGATGAGCTGGCGCGGCGGATCCAGCGAGACGACCTCCGCCCGCTGCCGTGCCCCTTTCCGGCGACAAATTGCGCGTGGGGTCGAGTCTGGCGAGATAGCTTTTTGGCCGTCGCATGCTGGGCCCCCGCCTTCTGGGGCACCCTGGTGCCCGCGCTGGCGGGCGACGTGTGCAAGCTGAGTTGCGTGGATGATAAGAGGGAGCTCGGTGTCGCGCCCGTCGCCGCTGGGTGGAGCGCCATCGGCGCCCTGGATCTGATCCCCCACCGCGGATCTCGTGATGCCGCCTGGGAATGTGGGCGACCGCGACCCCGTGGGCCCGCTGGGCCTGCCGAGCATTGCGGGTCTACCTCTTTTATTTTCCTCCTATTCGAGTGCGGGCCGCGCTGAAGATGCTAGTGGAATGATGGACGTTTTCAACAAGGATGCATGCCCTTCAACGCAAGAGGAGGTGGCATCTCGGCTGCGACGCCGTCGACGACATCAAGCACTGAATTGCCCGCCCCCGTCTCTGGCGCCAGCGCAGCCTGCCGCGGAGCCTGTTGAGCGCGGAGCTGCTGGTGAGGATCGGGCTGCCCTCGTTCTCCTCCGAGTTCGAGGTCGAGAACAGGATCTCCAGTTCGGTCGCGCGCATGGGGGTCGCCACGCGCTTGTGCCAGTTCACGCAGTGCGGGTTGCTGCCCTTCTCCTGCGCCACGCAGAACGAAGCTGTTGCCGCCGCGCGCCGCGCTCCCGACCCCTCAGACGGCGCGCGGCCGCGGCGCAGCTAAGGATCGAAACTCTCATCGGCTTCGTTCGCTCTATCCTGTTCTTCCACCTCCTCCTGCCTCCCCCCCCTTCCCTCCCTCTCGCCACCTCTCTCGCCCCTGCCCCCTGTCCACCCCCTGCCCGTGCACCCCCCCAAGGCTCAACCCGCGAGGCAAAAATTGCCCCTCTCTCGTCCTTCGGAACGCTCGCCGCAGGTGCTGGTCGAGGACGATGGCGGTGGCGACCTGAGGCGGGACCCGCGCCTTCCCAGAACTCCGACGGTCGTGTCGCTTTTCGTTGCTCATTGCTGCCGATTGCCAGGCGGGCGCGTGCTCTTTGGCCCCCCCACCCGCTGCGGGAGAGCTCGGCGCAGTTTTCCTCACATTGCACATGTGCTTCCCCAGACCCCTGACGTCATGGCTTTTTCACAACGTCGACCCCCCGAGGTCTCGACCCATTTCCCGGGGTTGGCTTTCCATCCCCAGTCGTTGTTTGACGGTCCCGATGTCCAGAGGCCGAAATTGAGTCCGAAACTGAGGAAAACCCCCCGTCGACTTTTTTCTCATGACCCGAGGGGATCTGGCTCGTTAGTTCACGGAGATGGCTCCGTTCGATCCGCGACAGCAAGGCAGCCTGTGGGAGCCGCGCTCCGTGCAGCTCCTCGCTGTCCGTCCGCCCTGCCAGGCTTCTTCGGCGTCCGGGGGGCCGCCGCCGTGCGCCGACGGGCCGCAGGAAGAAGAGCGGCCCGCGAGGAGCGGCCAGTCCCCATGGAGGACCCAGACCCCCTCCTCCTCCTCCTCCTCCTCCTCCTCCTCCTCCTCCTGCTCCTGCTCCTCCTCCTCCTCCTCCTCCTCCTCCTCCTCCTCCTCCTCCTCCTCCTCCTCCTCCTCCTCCCCCCTCGATTCGTGAAAACGTCAGGGCAGAAGATTTTGTCGCTATTTTTGGCCTCCGGGGGCCCTGACCAGGCCTCGAGGCCATCAAAAAACGCTTCGGGACGAAACGCCAATACGGCGTGGCAAAAAACAGGACGTCAGAGTCTGGGGAGGGGGAGCTTCGAGGGATCACGGCGTTCTGGGCCCTGGAGGCGCCTGGTCAAGCTGCGGGGGGCGCCCCTGCCCTCCGTTCGGGAAGGGGGGCGCCCGTGCTCGCAGTCGGGAAGGGAGTTTGGCGGCGAAATCCGAGCCCTACCTTCGCCAATCAACGAATCAGGCAACTCGTGGGGCGGCGGGGGTATAGTGAGGAATTCGTCGAACACGTGGCGAAATCTGAACCCAGCCTCCGCCTCCCATCGATTCAGGAGATTCGATGGCTGGTGGGGTTAGGGTTCGCATGTCGCCACCTGGACTCCCCCTGAGCCATGGCTCCCTCGTCCGGGAGCCGAGCTTCCCAAGGCGGGGCGCGCTGGCTTTTTGTTTCGGGGGGGAGAGCCACGACAGATCAAGGGTCCAGGGGTGGGAGAGCTCCTGGCCCCTCGGAGAAATTACGGTAGTGCATTTCGATATGCCCGTGTTCGTTCTGGTCTCCGCGTGCTCGCGCTATTGTGTACACACAGTGCCGAGCACACTTTGTTTCATCATTTCCTCTCCAGCTCTGACGGTATTTCAGCTCTACGTCGTGCGGTTAACGATTTCTTCTGATGCTTCGCGTATCACCACCTATGAACTGATCAAAGCCCTCGAAATCGTTGGCGAATCTGAATCAGAGCGATAGGAACAACAGAGATGTGACCATCACATTTTTACATCTCGCTCGGATCGATTAGCTCAAGGGACCTGCACGGTTTGGTCCAGCAGCAGTGGAACCTCGCCCATCTCGATGCGATCCTCTTGCAAGCAAAATGCAATGTGCAAACACGGATGTGCAGCGTATATCTCGCATCCGTGAAAAGGGGAGAATTATTCAGTATGACGTTCTGTTCTCAACAAGTATAACGGTATAACTGATCAAGAACATAATGCCATGTGAAAAGCACGCAGGGATGAGGTCGAATTCGCGCGAGGGTGTGCACTCGAGGTCCGCCCACTGCTCCTTCCTTGTCTGGTAGTCTCCGCTCGTTGGTGCCTGCTCTGTCGTGACCTCGCTAGCGCGCTTGAAGCCCTGGGTCTGATGGACGAACCTCGTCTGGTCTCCGCGGAGATTGTAGGTCATTATGCTCTGTACTCCTACCGTTCGCTGGTACATCTCGCTGGAACTGGCGGCTCTCACGTTAGTTGTGTTCTCCCTGTCCTGTCTGGCTGGATGTTCAACTTGGGAGTTACATCGATGTCCGGCTCTGTCTTCTCGATGTCGGGCTGTATATTTTAGATTTCCATTTGCGTCAGGTCGTAGGCGAGTGGTAGGGCGACGATCATGCCTACCATCATGAACAATAGTGTCTCTCGAACTTTACCTGAGATCCATCTGGCAGTCTTGTCGTCGTAGTAGTGCTGGTACTCGTACTTGTACTGGTTGATCAGGTCGGTATTGATGGCTACGGCTGCGTGCTGGCAGCAGCACGCCGCGAACACCGCTAGCTGCATCAGTGGTGACCCCGCCTTCCGTTTCGCCGATGATGTCATTGATGTCGTTTGGTCGATGATTTCCTGTCGCTCCTCCTTGGTTTTCTTCTTGGCCGCCGTGTATGTCGGGTCGTGGCGTAGTTGTAGGCGTCTTGCTCGAAGTCGATCAGCGAAGAGCTGTCGAGCTGCGATCTTGGTCAGGCCGTCCGGGTACTGCCGCTCTAATGGTACCCATTGCCATTGGGTATAGGTAGCCTCTATCTTTCAACGTAGGGCCAATACCTCGATGCCACTTCTCTTGTACTGGAAGCTGGTGGTGCTCTCCTTCTGCACAGGATCGTATAGAGCCTTTGCGTCGATTACTATCGCGGAGCTCTCGGCGTAGTGCGAGCTCTCGTCCTTCGTTCACGTCCACGTTATCGTAGACGAGGGTTGCCCAGAAACGCTTGGCAAACTCTTGAGTGTCCATGCCTGCTGCAGCTGCTTGAGACTCTTCGTGCAGTGCGGATCTGGCTGATCTCACCAACTTGAGCGACTTCCAGTCGGCTACGTAGAAGTCCGACTTTTCTCCTTGTAGTATCTTCTCGTGGCAGGCCAGTGCCACGTAGCCTCCTTGACTAGTCATGCCCCCCAGGCCGCATCCATCATCGCCACTAGTACAATCTCGCTGGGTAATCCGGTCTTATTCATCTTGAGGCCATCGTCCGCGTTTTGCCTGAAGAAGCGCAGCGTCTTGTTGACTTCCTTCTCCGTGCCCACGGTCGCTACAGGTATTTGTCCTTGATGAATGCGGACAAAGGCTGATACGTGTGGGCATGCTCGTGCGCTTAGCCCCTGTAGTGCTCCAAGTATGCCTCGTAGCTGCCGTTTCTCTGTTAACGTAAGCTCACGAACGTTGTCATCCTTCTTCTGATCGGCCGTGATAGGCTTGAGGCTGTGAGCGTACGTCTGCATCTCGACTTCGATTTCGTTATCGTTGGACCGCTCGTTGTCCCAATGCGGGGTCTGGTCAAGATCCGATCCGCAGTACTCCATCGTGTCATCCTCGATCTACTTCCTGATCTTGAACCTCTACTTGATCTCGGCGATAACCTTGATGTACTTGTTGCCTGGACGCTGGTTTTCACCTGCAAGCATGTCGTCCATGTCGAGTATAAAGGAGCCGTCGCAGTTACCGTTCTTGTCGAAACTCGTGAAGACGCAGGGATCCAGCGGATGCTGCTTGAGGCCGCTGGCTTTCAAGTCATCCGCCGAACGTGACCACCAACACCTTGGCGAGTCCACTTGGCCGTACATAGACTTGATGAGTTTCATCAGGGTACCCGGATCGATTCCCGTGAGGTCTGCCGCGTCTTGCGGAACCTTGGCGTAGACTTTTCGTTTTTGGGGTCGTCCTTGTAAGACAGTTGCAGCCGCGTCTGCTGTCCAGAGCCTCCAGCCATTCGAAACTGCCAGCTGCATCGATAGCTGACGTCCCAATCTTGATGCCGTAGGTGACGCTGTAGGTACTCTCCAAAGCGTCAGGGTCTATGAACCCTTGTAGTACCAGTCTTGCCTTAGCTCTCGGCGTGCCGTCGTCGTTATTGCTCCACTTGAGTACCCATTTCGCCTTGAGGATCCTGCTCGGGTCCTCCTCGCCAGTCGGCTTGTGGAACTCCCAGACGTCGTTGCCGTCGTTGCCGAATAACTCCGTCAACTCCTTCCGCTTCCCCTGCACGAATGCTGCACGCTCGTGACGCGTCATGCTCCTCGTGCTGATCTCGGCGTAGGTGTCGTTGAGATGGAACGTACGTCCGTCGAACTCCCATCCGAACGGGAGGTACCCTTCGTCCAGCATGAGTTGCAGTCTGGCTAGCTCGTCGTCGCCGCTTTCTTCTCCGAGAGGTCGGTCGATGCCAGAGCTGACTTCTGGTAGTGGTAGCTTGGGTCCTCAGTATACTCCACCACCTGGACGTCGGAACATTGCCGTCTCCGCTTGAGCGAGTCTTGTTCGGCTGTCTCGAAGATCCACTAGAGGTGAAGGTGCTGGTGGTGTCTGCATCGGTGCTGGTTGGTTGCTGGTAGCTGGGGCTGGTGTCGGTAGTGGTGACTCGTCTGGTGGTTGATTGCTATCGCTGATTGTGGCCGTTGGGTCCTCCTGCTCGATGAGAGGCGTCTTATCGGGCTGTCCCGCGCTGGTCTGTACGCTGCTGTGGGCGTCGCCACGACCACGTCGGGGTTGGCCGTCGGTGCCGCAGCTGCTGCGCCAGCCGCGCTTGCTGCTGCGGTCGTCGGTGGCTCCTCGCTGGATCCTCCCACCGCGGCTGCACCAGATGAGGAGGCTGCCGAAGTCGTCGGGGCTGTGGCCGTCGCTGCAGTCTCGGGTGAGGCCGTAGGTGCTCCTCGTGGTCGCTTCGGTGGTAGCTCACTGTTCCCGTTGCCCTCGTCGGGATCGATGTCCATGTCCGAGTCGCCTGGCCTGGAGCGTCGAACGGTGGCTGCTGCGAATCGATGCCGTGAACTGCGTCACGCCGGTCCTTCGCATAGCTGCCAGTGCGTCCTTCGCTTGGGTGAGGTTCTCGAGTAGAATGCACCCTTGATCACTCACGTCTGGTCGCAATGGGTTCAGGTGCGCGGCGTAGTAGCTACGTGCCGTGCACAACTCAGTAAATCTGGGGTCTGCGCTCATCTTGACGCATTTCCTTGAAGACCACGATCGCTGGGCCTTTCCATTTGTTCTTGATGATCTCGTTGGTCTTCCATTCGCGCCAGT